CAGACCTCATGTGGACAGATAACTCTCAGTTTTTACAGCAGGAAAGGTGCAGATGGAAATCAGCCCAAGTCAGTTCACAGAGCTAGGAAGCTGAACCAGATACCCTTCAGGATAACATCCCTCAGGTTCGGCATACAAACTATCAGCTCTAAAGGTCAAGCTGTTTCCTTCTGACGAACAACAGCCAAGTCAGCTATTAGCCCTTGCAAGGTGCCAGTAGTGTTATTTCTTTGGAGACTTTGCTATCGGTAGCCTGTGTGAGCCCAAAAGCCAGCTATCAAAAAACCAAACCAGAAACCCAAAACCATGGCCATGAGGTCTCCTGTGCCACCTCAGCAAGTCACCTAGCCTCCCACTGCTGCTCCACCTGCAGAAGAAACATACGCTTCAAGGCCTTCACACCCAACAGCGCTGAGGTAGCCAGGGTGACCCTGAGGGGTGCAGGCCTGCACACGCTGAACTCCATCCACTCTGGGAGAAGGGACACAGGACCATCAGCTGACCTTGTCAGCTGCAGCCCCCTCTTCTACAGGGCTGTAACACACAGGAGTCATATGGCCAACACCACCAAGTCTCAATGCATATACTGCAAGTTGATTTCTGCAAGGCAGACCGGCGTCATGGCTAACTAATCCTACACAGAGTGGAATACACTTGTTCTCCTTGTTCAGTGCTGTACTGGGCTGTAACAAGCCTTTATAGATGTCCCCCTATTCAATATCTTATTTGAAACGATGTCAACATCCTCCCTCTCTCCCCTATTTCTAGCAGAGTCATTGCTCGCTTAACAGTAATAACTTTCCAGCCTAGATGTTACCCGCCCTTCCCAACCATGATCGCAACAAGAGGGGCCAAAACTCTCCAGTCTGGGCTTACAGCCCCCACCTCCTGAGGATGAAGAGGAATGGTGCTGTGGCTGGGGAGAAGCCCGGCTGCAGCACGCATGCCATGCACAGGCAGCATAACTCACACCAGTGCTGCTCAGCATGAAGAGTCCTTCAACAGCAGCCTTGGAAACAAGGCTCAGTGGCTCACAAAGCCTTCTGCAGCGTGGCTGACAAAACAGTACTAAGTTGAAGCTGTTACATCTCAGATGCAGCTTTCTTTTTAACACAGAGAGCAAGCTGTAGGAGGTTTTTTCGTCTCCAAGGGCCAGTTGGACAGGCTATGTCTATTGCTACTCCAGACAGGCCACAAATGGTTAGGTTAAAAAACACCATCACCATGAAATGCTATTTTACCATCGGATTTTGAGAGCTCAACAGTAATTACTTCCATCTGTGAGATCCACTCAAGACCAAAATATGATGCATAATTACTTACACACACTAGCGCACCAGCTATGATCCACAACGTAAGAGCCCATTTGCAAATTGCCTACACAGTAAAATAACTTAAAGCATAAAATTTTAAGTACAGCAAGTTTCCTAGCTTTCAACGTGGACACACGTTTGTTCAGAAATACATCACTTGGAGTAGTTTAATTCATTAGATTAAGCGAAGTCATCTAGGAGATCAAAACAATTGCACTGAGAAGAAAGCAACCACACAGTAGTGCTTCCCAGATAACTGCTTGGAAACACCACAAGAACTGGCACGCCACATTAAATCATGCCAGACCAGCTGGGCAGACTGTAATGACTTGATTAAATTTAGACATCCATTTTTTATATTAGAGGTTCAGCCACACCAACAGATATAGAGCATTAGTATAGCAGATTTTTTAAAAATTAGCTTTTTAGGGACATCCAGTCTATATTAGACACTCTTGGAGGTGATCATTAAACAAAATCTCATAGAAAGCTCTCTCGGAAGACTTCTGTTAAGCGGCATGGGACAAAGATCAGGTTCCAATTTGACGGACTAGCCAAAAAGGAGCAAGGGGGGGGAAAAGGGTGTTTAACAGAAGGAGAGTAAAGAAAAAGGAAAAGCTTTTGCAGACAAACACAAAGTTATAGCCCTAACTTCATTTTACACACATTAATAAGCGGGGTTTGTACACTACACCCACTTCAGCAAAAGCAATTCAAAGTGGAGGCTCCCAAGGTGGGTTCAGAGACCACACGTGGCTACAGGAAGGCAGTTCAAAGACAGGACTTAGCAGAAGATCTTTGGCTTGTGTGCTAGGATGCTGCTTCTGCGGAACTGCAATTGTGTTGGCTTAGGTTTAACAACAAAACCATGCCTCCTGACATGTAGGCCTGGGCTTTAATTGAAAGACACACTCACACACTTAGCTACTTGTCCTCCCAGCTTCCCAGCCTACTCCTTCGTGCTGGTCCACAGGTCTGCGAGCAGAGCAGAGACCTGATCTGAGCAGAGGACGTTCAGTGTCACCAGTTCCCCGATCCAGTCTGATATCAGATCCTTTAAGCCTCCAAGGCAGCAGGCCTGGCTCAGAGCCAGACTGTCCAAAGCCACAGACCCGCTCTCTCGTCAGCTTCTTTGGCTACAGCAGCAAAGCGACATTTGCACTAACCAAAGATGTTCTACATGGGATACTAGGAATTTCCTGCCCCCCTCAGTATCAAGAAATGCCTGTTAGCCACCCCAAAACTATGTGCATTTCCCAGGGAAAACCCTGATTACACTTTGAGTCCATGTGGTAGTAGTGGGGGGGAAGCATCACCATGCTGGTGCCACCTCCTTCTCAAAGGCAGACTCTTGAGGTTTTCACTCTCTTTACAGAGGAAGCTGAACTCATGACTTGCACTCATTCAGGTTCTTATTCACTCACACCAATTGTTTGTTGCTTATATTTGCTCCTCTGGCCAGACCCACACCAGAATATTCCTGACATCTTACATCAGCTATAAATTCAGGGATGCTTTTATATATGCTGGACCAGTAGTCCACCACCATTTTAGCCAAGAATACTGGAAAAAAAAAGTTCTTGAAAACATCCTCTCCACAGCTCAGCCTGCCCACCCATCTATGTCACGTCTCCTTTGGATTCACTGCAGTGAAAAACTCTTGCTGGGAACTTCTCAAGTTCCAGCTTCCCAAAAAAATGAGGGCTTTGAGAAGACCTTTGTCACAACGCACTGCTGAGTCAGAGCAACATGAGGAGGCAGAGGGGCACAGCAGGCAGTTAGCTCAAAATGCAGCAAATGCGCACAGACCCAAGTCCTGAGCAGGCCCCGAGTGCAAGCGCACGTTGTCCCACGCCACGACAACAACAGTATGTGGAGAATGACCTTAATGTGCAATGGCAAAAGCCTCGGGGGAATTGTCCGAGTCCTGGCAATTTCCCAAGCAATGTCAGCTTCGATACCCACTTTATCAGACGGTCTTTACAGCAGTAGCGCCCAAAGGGCTAGTGCCTTGCACAGCTGTAAAGCCCTGCCTTAACTCTTGAACTGAGGTACATGTTCCTCTCATTTCTTTCCACTCTGGGTTAGTCTGTCCACAACTGTGCCAGACACACCCGGCACATACAAACCCCCTTTCCTTCCAGAAAGCAGCTCCCACCTATAGCACAGTGCTGGGACAGCGCCTCTACAGAAGTGCCCCGCACACTCCCTCCTGCAGAACTGCCCCTTTGGTAGCTCTGGCCACGTCCTCTGCCACCCCACGGCAGCCAGAACAGCTATAGGCACTGAAGGCTCTTCTCAACAGCTCGGGTCTGTGATATTCACGGCAACAAAGGAAGAGAGGTGATGATGGCTTCTGGCTTCCCAGGATGAGTATCTTTATCACTGAACAAGTCTGAAAGAAGGCACTGGAGTTGGCATGATAGCCTGAGTCCCCATGCTGATGGTGAGGGGGTGAGTACACCCCCATGACGTACGAGCAGAGATTTTACAACCACAGCCTGTGAAACACTGGCAAGAGTAAACTTGGTCTCTAGGCAAGTGTCCTTACCAGCAAGACAAAGTTATCAAGAAACCCCAAGCTAAATCTTCCTCTTTCCAATGGGAAAAAGGCAGGGATCACATTCAACCTTGCCAGAATCCCAGAGCTGTCAAGGTTGGAAGGGACCTCTGAAGATCATCTGGTCCAACTCCCCCTGCTCAAGCAGGGTCAGCTAGAGCAGGCTGCCCAGGACCATTGTCCAGTCAGGTTTTGAGTATCTCCACAGATGGAGACTACACAACCTCTCTGGGCAACCTGTCCCAGTGTTTGATTGCTCTCACAGCAGAAAAGTGTTGTCTTGTGTTCAGAAGGAACCTCCTGTGTTTCATTTGGTGCTCATTGCCTCCGGCCCTGTCACTGGAAAGAGTCCAGCTCCATATTCTTCAGTACCTCCCACCAGGTATTTATACACATGGATAACGCCCCCCTGAACCTTCTCTCCTCCAGGCTGAACAACCTCACCCCTCTCAGCTTCTCCTCATATAAAGAAGCTCTGGTCCCTTAACCATCTTCTCGGCCCTCCTCTGGCAATTCGAGGCACTGCAGCGAGGCCCACAAAAACTGTGGGTGCCAGACTAAACCAGCATACCATATGGATGGGTCACAGAACATAGACGGACCAGCTAGCTGCCAAGGTAAGTTACACCATCCTCCTCCCCTTCCCCAGAAATCTGTGGTTTTCCATAGAATGATAACAGCTTCAGGAAAAAAAAACCCAAACCAAAGAGCCCAGGAATGATCCCAATGGCACTATTAGGTCACTTGGACAGATATCGATGGGCTCAAGAAAACTGATGCACGTTAACTCAGTAGGAACTGTATATTTGAATATTACAAGTTTTAACCGCACAGCCTTTGGTTGAAATTTATCAACCGAAAGACAGGCAGAATGAGAGTTGTGGCAAATCTAAAGCCAGCAAAAAGCAGGTATAACAACCTCAGCGTAAGGATTCCCTCGAGGGATCAGCATTAAGGATGTTCAGCAGTATCTTCCAACAGCCAGAGAACTGTTAAGAGACACAGCAGCAAAATAAAGCAGGAAAACAGGCTATAAACAGAATCGCTACTTCAAACAAGTCTCCACCTCCCCCAGCCCCGTTAGGGCCAGGTGCTGGTAACCACATTGCTTCAAGGTCAACATGTCCTCACGCATCTGCAAGCCAGCAAGTGTCACAGTTACATCGCACTGAGGCTGCCAGGCATACCTGTGTTTTTAGGCCCATCTGCATACACTGGTCCTGGAGGCGGAGGGGCGTTTTGCCATCCATACTGGGGATAACCTTGATAACCTGGCTGGTAAGGCCCAGTCGGTCCCGGCGGATAGCCTGGGTACGGGCCAGGAGGACCACCCGGCTGCTGCGCATAGGGTGGGTAAGGGGCAGTCGGGCCCGGGCCGGGATAAGGTGGAGGATTTTCGTAGCTCATGTGGGATGCAGAATCTGTCCTGCAGGAGGAAAACAAACAGAAGAACTGGTTTGCTTTTGTCCACTTCATCCATGCCCATTAATTCCCTTTGCAGACTGCACTCCAGAGGGCCCTACATTAAGTGTGAGAAATAGACCTCCCAATACCTGGTCAAGCAGCGAGTTTATTTTTAACCCTAACACAGGGGCAGAGACCGAGTTGAAGCGTTTTCTTCCATGTGACATGAGTTTAGCTCAGAGTGACTTGCTGCTTTCCAGTCACGCATCAGCTATTCACCCTAAGACATTTAACAGTCCTGCAACTGCAAAGCAAAATCCTCTGCTTCCACTCCTGATTAAATTGCTTTTAAAAGAGATTTAGAAGCAATTACTTCATATTTCTGTCAATACTAAAAAAAGAAAACCATGCAGAAATGCAGCCTATTTGAGACGTGTGATAGCCTCAACAGGAGAGAGAGTGAACACAAATGTCCATTATGCTTCTGCTAATTGTTCTAAGTATCGAGACCGGCACTCTGGAGCAAGTAACTGCCTGATGACACTGTAACCCAGCACATCGCGTATTCTTCCAGTAACATGCAGCTGAATCATTAAGCAGCCACAAGCAATCAGGGCCTTGTGCTCAGTCTCATTCAAAAAGCAACATTAAAGACACCACAGAGAGTTGATGCTTGTAAAACCTATCTCACATATTATTCATAGTACAGCCATCAAAAGACAAGACTGTCTCAATAATGCAACTCCAACTAACCTCTAAGCAGCATGACTAAGCAACCCATTTATTACATTAGGTTTCTGAAGCTTCTCCCTGTTCAAGGAACCAGAGTGTCCTAAATACCACGTGTTCAGGACCCCTCCTGGCTGCAGTAGCTGGACTCTGCTGTTTGCTGTCACCATTCCAGCGCCCAGAAGGATCACCATTTCCCCTTTGCTGCACACCTCTTCCCACACACCACAGGCTTCAGGGAAAATTACTGGGAGCAGAGTTTGCCCCTGCTGAGGCTCACTGCTGCCAGCACAGAGCAGGAGGGGCTGACAAGCAGGATCCTCTTTGGATGCTGTTGGGAAGGGCAAGCAGCCGAGCTAGACTGACCTGGATGCTCAGTACTACGCACTCACTCTCAGGGACGTGCAGATTTTGAGCCCAGTGGAGAGCATTAGCACATCTAGACTGAGCTCTGGTGTGACGCAGATTAAAGAATTTCACCTTTGTAACTCTATAGTGAGCCCAGAGCAGTCATCTGCCAGGCAGAAGCCAAGTGAGTCAAGCCTCTGGGGCTATGTTTAGCTGCTGCAGGCTCTAACCAGTGCTGAAGTGAGCTTTGTTTACGGCTTGCTATTTCATCACCTCAGAGAGCGCTGACTGTCCCTCCCCAAGGAAGGATCCCGGGGCTTTCTGCTTGTTTAAACGTTGCTCCTTGCCCCAGCCTCATGAGCACGACGCCCACTGCCATGCAGGCACCATGGGGCTCTGCCACGTACGCAGCCCTGTCCCACCCTTGCAGTAACAGCCAGTCTAATCACACACAATGCCCAGGAGAGCATCTGACTCAAAACAACTCCAGAGGCACACTCTGAGGGAACGGGGCAGATGAACCTCCCACAACACCACCAAGAAGCAGCCCTTCAGTCTCAGGGGTCTTCTGCGGCCTTGCCAGCCTGAATTCATTCTAATGCTCCTCTTGCTGTGCAAGCCAGGCACAGTCCCAGTTAACTGTTAAGGCAGAACTGTTACCTTTCAAATGGTATTTATTTTGAGGAATTTTATGTATTTTTCCATTGCCAAGCCAGCCAGACCACTTAACTGCTCATTTTGAAGCGGACAAGCACAACTTATGTTTAACTTGAGGCTCTTTAAACACCAGCCTGCATTGCCACGCCTCTACCAGTCTGCAGCATGGAAATTCTCCCTTCAGAGAGCCAGAGAAAGGCAGGCACCAAGACCTACAGCTCACTGCAATGCAACAAATGGGTCATTAATGTTCATCTAACCCAGAAAATCATGCCAAAATAGAAGCCAAAAGCAGTTCCCAGGTAAGAACAAGGCCAGAGCACGCATGTGTGTATACCTACATACCATTGCACGCGGCAGGGTAGCCCATGGTGCCCATGCCAGACAGGGCCCAGGCAACACGCAGACCCCTGTGAACTTCCCCCGAGTTTGCTTGGTCTCCCTGAGCCGGCACACAGCTGCAGCGCCCGCTCCCAGCACGAGGGGATCCAAAGCTCTGCTGCATGCCTTATGGAAAACTGCCCCATCGGGGTGTCTGCAGGAGGTAGGGATCAGCAGCCACCTGCCTAAATTCAGGGATGCACCAAATGTGGGAGAAGGCATGTGGGGACACCCCGTTCCAGGCTGAAGAGCCCCAGTGTACTGTCTGCTCCTTGGGCAGGAACCAGCCCCTCCATCCAGCTCCCCCTTCTCCGAATCCCTCCAGGTCTGTTCTAGGCTGTAAGCTGGCATCCTAGATACATATATATGTGTATATATACACACACACACAAGATATTCAAAGGCAGCAAACTGCAGATCATGTTTTTTGTTCATAAATCTTTTCTTCAGAACCCCCAGAGCTCAGCTGGCTTTGGTGATCATTGCCAAGCTCCAGCAAAGAGCCACATTGACTACTTCAGTTTTCCAAAGCCCTCCTACCCAAGAGGATGGTCAGCTCAGGCCATCCATTCCAGTGAAGTTCAGTCTTCCCTTCTGTCCCTTCATATGCATCAATTCATTTATCTACATTCATTATCATTGCCATTTTAGTGCTGTAGCAAGGCTTAAAAGGTGTTGCAATTCTTCAATTAGCTCAAATTCAGGCAGTGGATAACTTAAACTCAACCACCACACTGCTCCCTTGCCATGGGGACTTGTGCTGGGACCCCCAGGGGCCATCCTCCACCGTCAGGGCTGGCCATTCGCTCCCTTCCCTGTTCCCTTTGGTACCCAAGCAGGGAGCCTGCCCAGAATCCTGAAGTTGACTGGTTTCTGTACAAGCACCCAGTGTGGGATCATACTCAAAGCCTTTTGGAGAGCTGGTACAACTGCTGGTGAAGCAAAACAGGTAGAAAAGCATCTCTGCAGAAAGATCTGAGATGGGTACCAACTGTACAAGGCTGTATCCGATAAAGCTTAGAAAACACTGAAAGGCGTGGTAAGGTGAGAACCTGGCTAAAACCAACAGCTGTGGAGGATGAGTAAAGAAAACTGCCCATCAGCAGCTCTGCAGAAAACTCTGAGAAACCAGACAGAAGGAGTTAAAAATCAAAGTCTTACAGTGGCTTGAGCAAACAGGGAAGTGGTGTCATAGGGAACAAGAAAGAAATACCAGTGCTCTTTGTCTGTTTAACAGCTCTGTGTTAGCCCTGTCAAAACAGTTTTTGAAGAGGAGGCAGGTTTGGAGTGGAGCTAGTAACTGAGCTTCTGCCTCTTCATGAGGGACAGGGCTTGAGGAGAAAACTGGTGAGAGTCTACTAAAAACCAGACAGATGCCTGGGCAGAGATCTCAGAAGAACAACAGAACAGTGGAAAAGATGAATGAGATTAAAGGGCATAGTCCACCAGGGAAAAGGTTACTTCTCCCCTCAAAGTTAAGGGCGAAGTAACACAACAGAGATTAGGCAAGAAGCAAATAAGAGCACCCAGCAAGAACAGTTTCACAGCAACTGTATTGGAGATTTATCTGTGATGAATGAGAAAACTCCTGAAGAATTTATCACGGCATTCTGCAAACCCAGGAGGTGGCTGGGGAAAGCAGGTCTTCCAGAGGTCCTAAGTACTACTTGCGTCCACTCCCTCTCAGCTCCGCCTCGGCTGTGAAGGTCAGTCTTCTCGCAATGGCCTCTGTCCCCAGACACATTCTGGGGAAGAATTTTTCCTCGTGCCTCACTTCCACTATCAGTTACTGCCACGCATATACCCTTCCCTACCTGCCCTTTTTGAACTGTGTGACAGTATTTAGGTTTTCCTCGTTCTCATGAGCTCACACATGGTTTTACATGCTTACTAGCCCTATTTACTCACTGGGGTATGCATTGGCAAGGCAAAGACTTGAATCATTAAGCAGATACTTTTCAGAACATAATTGAGCTCCTAGTCAAACGTATTACCAAGCTTTTCTGTGGGTTCTCACCCCAACTAGTAATTCCACACGAGCTGCAACCAAGACCAATTCCTACAAGCTTACATCAGGGCTCGTATCTGTGGGTTTCCCAATGAGCACCTCCTGCAGACAAAGCTCAAAAGACAGAAGCCAACGCCTCTGTAAAGCCCTTTGGTTTTCACGGCACTGTAGGAGGTCCATCAGGAAGAGCCAGTACAGCACTGCACAGTCTCACCTGATGCAAAACTTCACCTAGCACTAAAACCAGCAAACGAAGAGACTTCCCTGATTGCCACTAAATGTTTGCCCTCTATGTCACAGATTAATGACAGAGAAATTACTAGTCCACCTGAAGAGAATGACAAAACATGTTCCTATTCCTTCCTCTCCCCCCCACCTCAGTACTTTTGCTAGGTGGCAAGTCTGTTAATATACCATAAAGTTTCCTTAAGCTATCTTTGAACTCCTTTGTTCCACACTGCTGAGCAAACATCATTTTCCCTACTCTAACAGAAGGGGGTTATTTTTAAAGCAGCAGCTTACCATACCCCAAAAGGCTGCATTGTATCCCATGATGTCTGCAAAAGAAGAAATCACTCAAGTAGGAGTATGCACACAATGCATCATAGAGAACACAGAGCACTCTATATAGGCACACACTGAGACATCAAAAGGTAAGAATGACCATCCTATGCAAGAACATAAGTCCCTCTCCATCTGTAACCTGTCTTTGACTAAGGCTTAGCAAAAGGTGCAAGTACAGAACAATGATGCTTTTGTACACGCTGTATTTTTTTGGTTTTCTAACCTCTCCATTTTGGCAACCAACACACCTCAGAGAAATTTCATCATCAAGCTTCGAAAATACCTCCTTCTTTCCGATTGCTTTAAACTTACTGCCTCATGCAAGGTCAGCAT